ATATATATATATATATATATATATATATATATATATACACTAGTACATTTATTAGTTATTATATAAATACAATTCAAAATAAAGGTTTAATGATTATTTGAATAACATAAAACTACAGAAAAGCTGTAGCTTGATGCCTGACAAAAGACAATTATCATTAATTAATAATGAATCATGCTCAAGCTAGCACAAAGTCGCTTTTTCTATTCTAAACTCGTGTGAAACGTGTGAAAAGGAAGAGGTACTGGAAATAAAAAGAAATGAAAAAAGAAGCCTGTGCTATTAAGCTATTAGCATGCACATTCTCAAAACCCTTGCTGTAAACACCCACAAACACAAGCCTGGCAGATTATAAATCAGTCATTTTGCCATTAAAGACTTGTGCAGTTCGTAAAGCGTAACTCTGGGTGTTTATATACATATATATGTTTTTCCACACTTAATATGATTTCTCTGGCTTACTGAGTTAGCATGTGTGTCGAGCGGAGGGGTTTAGAGAAATGGGGCCACTCATTATTTTGAGAACTGAGATCTGTTTGTCGAGGTACAGACTACGGAGGGATGGTGAAATTCATTTCCTATCTTCTGCAGCTGTAGTTTTCATACTCAAAATCTTTTGGTTATCAGCCCAGCTTCTTAACCACTACACCACCACAACAAAACATTCAGAACAAGGAATTAATCTATTTAAATTCAACATTTTACAGTCTACCCACTAAGCTACACCGGCTCCCAAGTCATCATCCACTGCCACTGATACCTCATTCTTTTCACGTCCTCCACTCTCCAAGTACAAAATGACAAATCAAGCAGCTTTACAACCCATCCATGTGCTTCGCCATAGCCACCAGGCACTGTTTGATTGTGTATCAGCTTCATGGAGCAGCGGATATTGGCTTTGTTTGCCTACGGCTTTGTCGTTTTTCATCTGGGTCCCTCCATTTTGTTTTTCTTTTGGTATCTGAGTTCACTGAAATGTGAACAATTAGGATCCCTGGAAAGGCTAATAAACAACTTTGACAAACTGCCAATGCTCAAAGTACGTTTAACAGAAAAAAAAAG